GCATCAATAAAGAAAGAATTTAGCTTTTTTATCTTATATATAAACAAAGAACCATAACAACTGCAAAAGTTCAAATTAAAGGTTTCCAAAATTATTGTTTTGAGTCAGTATAAAACTCTTAATTTTTATAAATTTCATAATACTGATACGGAACTTTTCCAAAGTATATGACATGTTTACAATTTAATTTGCTTATTGAAACAACATAAACTTACTTTCTTGTTAATTTTATAAATTAGCGTTCGAATAGAAAAAAAAAATTAGTTGGGAAAAGCCCCCTCCTAGCCGCCGGAGGAATATTAACAGACTTCTCTAGGTCGCCTTAGGGCCGGGTTTGTAATTTTTAAAAACAAAATTTATACTGTGGCAGCTAAACGTTTTAAACTAATCAGAAAGCTCATAATTACTTTAATTAAACCAATTAAAAACGCAGACCTGCTAAAATATACGGCCTCGTCTCCTACATGCCCGTTATTGCATATTTCGTTGAGTGCGGTAGGCTTGGGAAGGATGGTAAATTCTTACATACAAATTGTGGTTCACATATATAGATTTCTTACCGATCTTTAAAGGAGTCGTTCCTCAACCTGTAGGCCTTTAATTTCTTTTTATACACAAATTATACTGTACACTTCATAATAATTTTACAAAGGTAAATCTGGTATTTGCCTAAAAAATTTGTATGCTCTATATTAATTTAGTAGAGAAAAGTAATTAACGAACTTGTTTTTTAAAAATGGGATTTTAACTTGATAATAAATGGCAAGTAATTTTAAAGCTACGTCTTTTTTGGCCTTTCGATTGTAAAAAAAAAGTTATAGGTAAAGTAATTGAATTCATGTTTATATCAAATTTTTTAGTTAAAAGAACTTTATGTACAAGGTCCTCCTGTTAACTTTGTTTAATCAAATGGACGGCCTTCTTTGGCTCTAAATAAAGAAGTCAGTGAAAGTTATTTAAAAAAAAACAGTTTTTAAAAATTTGTGCAGTCTAAAAACAGCTTCTCTTTATTTACGCACACTCCTTCGCTGGTACACACCACCCTTATACAAGAAAATACGTTCCAGGGGGACTGGTGCCTCAGGTTCGTCAAAATTAAAGTTTTCGAGAGTGGGGACTCGTGGGACTTGTTTCAATAACATTTAACTTCGTAGTTGTTACTCTCTTGGCAAATAAAATGGTCATCTGAGTTTGCTTTTCGATAAGAGTGCTTTTGTCTTGCAGTCGGGTATTATTAGTGGAATTTGAGCCCTTTCTTCTTCGCTGCTTGGTGCATGAGTAAAAACCACTGTTAACAATCTCTTTTGTAGCAACAAAAGTTTTTGTACGCAAACTTCCGGTTCTTTCAAGATCAATTTGAGCTAAGTTAATATTTTTCCATTCTTCGTCAGGTTCACTAAAGTCAAACTTATTTAGGTAACTTTTTCCGTTTTTTCAAAAGTCAGAGAGCCGCCCCGGCTAGCGTACTTGTGAAACTTTTATCCTTTCTTACCCTTCTTCAAGAGCCTCTCAGGTTAATGTTAGCCTTGCAAGAAAGAAACGTATTTGAAATTTTTGAAAAGAAGGGAAAACATATTTTTAAGATAGTGGTATCTGTGCACCCCTTGAAGAAGTCTTATACTTACTTTTGTGGCCCATAACACTTTAAACTTCTTTTACTATTTTTTTGCAAGGCGACTCCTGCATTTTTTAAAAGGGAACATCTTACTTCGTATAAATTGGCTTTATTACAATATAAAATTCTTTTTAGTTTCTTGCCTTTTATTATCGCCTTCTACAGCCTTAAAAAATTAAGTCGTGAGATCTTTTTATTTTTACAGTTTTCATTAAGTAGATCATACTTAATAGCTTCAACTTCACAAGGACAATTAAATTAGAGATAAAGGAAAGCGAACGAAAATAATTCGGAGGCTGCTTTAAAAGAAACTTCCAATTTGGACAATTTCATCTTAATAGTCGTCCGAGAAAAGAGAAGGGATTTTTTCCTTATATATTCTAGAAATTGCAGCTAACACATTTACTGTTAGAGGCATAGCTTCTTCCAAGGAACAAATTCTATATAACATTTCTTTTAAAACGCATCTTTTTGCTCTATAGTTAGGTCAGGGTTATAGTTTATCAGGCTTGCGTGTTTTTTTAAACATTTCAACACTAAAATGGTTCTTTCCATTATTTGGTTCAGGTTTAAAGAGAGTAGTACAAAATTCTGATGCGATAACTTTTTATTAGATTGGGCAGATCTCTCGGGAGAAAGTGTAAGTTTACGCCATTTTTCTACAAACTTTTTTAATATGATCTCGTATATAATTGAGCAAAAAGGAAAAGGCTATTATAGGATGAAACAATAAGTTTTTTAATATTGCATCTATTTTTTTTTAGAGTTTCGGCGAAGTCGTTAAATCGACAAAGTAGAAGAGCAGTTAGGAATAGTCTGCTCGAACGTTAAAAACAAACTATAGTTTTCCAAGACAAATTGCGGATTTCTACTATATCTACGAAGGTTCCATCGCATATCAACTGTGCAGAAGACTTTTATATATTTCAAATCTCTTTTTTAGAGCTATGAAAGCCGGATGACAACTTTAAACCGTAATAATAGTTGTGAATCAGATTTCAAGAATAAGTAGGGGTAGGGCCTCTTTCTAACGTTTTTATAATTTTTTTAACTTTACTAACTTAAAAAATATTTGGAAGCGTAAGCCATTACAATGTTCAAAGGATTTTTCCACACTATTACAACTGGTGCTTTGACAAAAAAATAAAGTATAATAACGGCATATACTGACGAAAAAAATAGTTCCTATAACCTCGTCCTCTTCGCCCAATATTCTCTACGAGGCATCCCCTTTAAGGAATTGAACTTCTCCATTATACCTAAAAATTTTTCTTCAATAATTCGTATGTAATTACACAGAAAAAAAAATTGTGTTTTTGAACTTTTGTAGAAAAAAAAACCCTATTAAATCTATTTTTCATAAATTTTGCAAGTTTAACAAAACATTTTTCAATAGACTATTTCTTTTATTTTTCTTTGGCCTAACTTCGTTCACTAAATTCTCTTTTGTGAAAAGGTTCGTTACTTTTTCTTAGAATTCTTTTAAATTCTTCAAAAACTTTAAATAATAATTTTGATTCCTGTTCAAATATTAAAACTTTCTTTCTGCTGACATAAAAAAAGTTTAGACAACCCAACTCGGCGAGAGTGGTTGCAACTAGACAAGAGGTCTAATCTGAAAACTTTACGAACCTTTTATTTACTTCGGCTTATTCAAAATTGTTTGTATTTTTCCTTCCGAAAGATGGAGCTTCAGATCAACAGCAATAACTCGGGCGGATCTTCAGAATTTAAGACCTTCAAGATTTGCAACACTTCTTAGTAAATTAATGAAGTTATTACTATAAAATTTTAGCTTTAAAGTTATATCATCTGAACACTCAGTTGTGTTATCCAGCTTTAAAAACATCCTTAGTAAATTCCTTTTTTCCAGGTGTTTTGAAAGTTTAATTGTTTTTTTAAAAAAAAAACTTTACCTACTTCCTTTAACTTTGGTTAATTCAGGTAACTAACGTATGCTCGAAAAGCAATTTTGAGTGTCTTCACTATCAATATAATATTTTAAACTACCTTTGAAACTAACTTAACAGCTCTGCAACCGGTGACTAATAAATTAAGGTAATTTGAAGGCCATAAAATCGTAGTGGTTTTCTTGCCTTAAGCTAGGGTAAGGTTTGTTACTTTTGAACAAAACTGAAGTATGGAGAGCACAAAGTGTTAAACGAATTAGCATCCGTGAGATTTTTACAAAATAAAAATAACTCCTAAGCAGAAAAGTAATAAATAGGCAAATAATGTTTAAGAACAACTTTATAGTGTTTAAGTTTAACTATTGAAGGTTTTTATAAACGCCACCTAAACGTTAAAAAGGTTTTTTAACACATTTACATATTACGAAAACGGATGAAGAAAATTATATACTTAATACAATAAAGACTAATTAACTTTTTACATGGTGGCGCTGTGTAGAAAGACTTTTTTGGCTTGTAGTCGTTGCTCTCTACTAAAAGTTGACTTGCGTGTAAGCATATCTAAAAAAGTAACAATATAGGGGAGTATTTTGTCTTGAGGTCAAACAAAAATACTATAATAAAGTTTCCCACAACATATTGCTAGAACCTGCGTAGTAGAGTATAAACTCCTTTATAACTTTAAGCGGTTCCCACTCAGCCATACTTTTTGAAATACAAAGATAATTTCTTTAAAAAGTTTTTTTAAAAAAAATACCAATTTGACGTAACATTAAAATTCTTGCAATTATTTCCTTATTCCGATCTCATAATTAAAAAGTAGATATGCTTAAAATAAAAGCAACTTTAGAAGGGAGTTACGTCACTCAGTTGTATTAAATAATATATTTTAAAATAAACGTGTGGCGGGTTAGTCTTTCTATGTCCACGAAACTATAAAGTACTCGATCACACTGAACATACGCCTTTATACAAAAATAATTATTTTGCTTTGCCATTTCTTGCGCCTAACTATATAAAAAGTTTAGCTTCACATATTTATATTTCGAAAGCTTATACCGACTGACAGTATTGTTTCAATCAATTTTATATTAACTTTTTGCTAAATTGTAGCTTTTATAGCTATTATTTATTAAACAGCTTATCCTAACACAAATTAAGCTGAGTACTATATTTTTTTAATTTTATAAATTAAGACGATTAGGAGTAATATAATCCTGGTGAGCTACTACCGTATCTTGCTTTATTCGTAAAAGGACTTACAAGAAACTCTACTTTCTATTTTTACATACCACGAAGGTTGTTAACGTCTACAAACAAGTAGCCATTCCGGCAAAACACGCAAAGCAACTTATACTCACTTATAATAAAATCAGTGTAGTAAACAAGTAAAACTACAAAGCAGTACAGATGTTCGGTCTTTTATCAACTAAAACAAATAAAAAATTTTTTTTTTATTCAAAGTATATCAGTTAAGTAGATTATAAACTAGAACCCTCACTAAGTAAAATACTTCTAAATCTATAAAAAAGGCACTATATTGCTCCAAGCGATGAACTTTATCTACAAAAGTAAACAGCCCGATTTTTTCTTTTCCTTCTGCGGCGGTGCTAGACAAACACGAATAGCCTCGTCAAAAACCAATTTTAAATTCTTTTGCGACAAAGCGGAGCACTCCACGTATCCTGCCGCCTTAATTTCTTTAGCAAGTTGATGCCCTTGACTGCAAGTAATGGGAGCGAGTTTCCTTTCTTTTAGTTTTTCGATTGTTGCGGGGTCGTCGCGGAGATCAACTTTAGTGCCCACGAGAAGCACAGGGACGTTGGGACAATGATGGCCGATTTCAGGACACCACTTAGTCTTCACGTTCGAAAAGGAGGCTGGAGAGACAAGAGAAAAGCACACTAAAAAAACATCCGTTTGTGGGTAGGATAACGGTCGGAGGCGATCGTAATCTTCTTGTCCAGCCGTGTCCCACAACCCGAGATTAATTGGCTTGCCGTCCACCATCACATTTGCAGAGTAATTATCAAACTTTACATACAGAAAATTAAGTTACTATAGAAAGTCTTAGAAAAACCGTTATACCACATACGACAAAGCCATTAAGGCAGTAGTAAGTTTAATAGGTAAAAAGAAAAAATCAACAGTTGAAGTAGCTGCGAAAATAAAACTTACAACGGTGGGTATATATTCTCCAGGAAAAGCATTAGTAGTATAAGATATTAAAAGACAAGTTTTGCCAACGGCCCCATCTCCCACGACCACACATTTTATGGATTGCATAGCCACAATATAATGCTATCTAAACAGTAAAAAGAGTAACTTTATTAAAAGGAAAAATAAACTTTAAAAAGGGTTGAAGTAGGTATGTATATAAGTGTCTATAACACATAAAACTGCGCACTCATAAAACTATCCCTACACCCACCACCGGTAATAACACCACTTAAAATAACATAGAATCATATACATTCAATATTAAATCAAAACGTAAAACCGGTGTTGAATACATTTAAAGGGTTTTAACTCCCTGCATCAACAAAAGCTCAATGGCAGCGTAAAACAGGGGCAAGAGGTCCTCTAATAAAGCGGAAACGCCCAGCTTAGAGTTGCACGCGAAACCACACCTTTTTAGTATTTTTTATATATAGGTTTTAAGCTTTAAAGTTTTCCAAATTTATAAATATACATAAGCGATTGCCAAATTAATAAATATCTTCGAAACACAAATTATTTTGATTTAAGCAGGGCATACATGTTACCAAATCAAGTTCATTAGGTCTAATTAACAGTTAACGCTTATATGCTGGTTTAATAACAGCGTCCAATTCTACTGTAGACAGTTCCTTTTATTACTGTATATGTATTTTAATAAGTGGTTTTAAATTTTTTGGTTGCTTTAACTTTTCTTAGTTTCTGGATATTTAATCAAACTGAGATTAGTGCTCTTTTCTGTTATAACCAAAGGTGCATATACCATTAATAAAGTAGATATTTATATATTTGCTATTTAATATGATAAATTACGCTAACATCCATTAAATTGCTAATTATAATGCTTTCACACACATTTTATACAGTTTAATTATGTACTTTATATAAATAGGCTAACGAAATTAACATTGGTCATGATTATCAAATGCAAAGACAGCTATTCGTAATTATTTAAGATCTTTTTGAGGAAAAACGAATTCTTTTTGTTAGCAACGTTATGTGCCACCTAATTAAAATTCGGTGCTATGAACTGTCTCCTCTACATCGAATAATGCTTTGGACGAAAGTAAAGCAGCAGAGATATTATAAATGAGATAAGCTAAGTTTGCTTAAATGATAACCGTAAAAGATTTTGGCCCTTTATCTATAAAGGGTTGGCGGATCAAAGTCTGTAAGGAGGCGTCGCCCCCAACTTCTAACTAATCCGCGCACAGAAAAAGCATGAGTACTAAGTAAAGACGCTTAACGCATTACGTTCCACGCCCGCACAGCAAACTAACACTCTTTAAAAAGCAGTAAAACACCAATTAGCTAAGTGCATATAACAATGGCCTACTTAATCTTTTTTTGCGGTCTCTGTTCCCGTTGCTCGTCTTAAAAGAGTAAACTTATAGCCGCAATCAATGAGTGGTCTTTGTTAGTGTGCGTTAGTGTATATACTGATGTTTTAGAATAATAAAAGGTAAAAGGATAACTACCTTGGGTTAAAGAATAAATTATATTAAAAAGAGTTGTCCATGTAGTTCATAAACTCCTGGGTTTTTTGAGTGATCTAGCGAAAGGTTCAATAGTTTAGGACTAAGTCTTAGCTCTTAGACCCAGAGTTTTTTTAAGTGCAGTGGGATACCAAATCAGTAGGTAATTTAAGAAGTTAAACCGACGTCACAAAGACATTAATAGAGTGAAAGGTGGATAAATAATGTGGAATACTAATTCAACCTGCACAATATATAATATAGTCTTAAATAATTTAATACCCCTGGGCGTTATCTCAACCCGTAAGGAATAAACTTTGCTTTTTATAAAAAAAACTTACATCGATATATTACAAGAATATATTAGTAAACTATGAGTAAAATATCTGTTCACGAATAATGAAACTTCTACGCAAACGACTAGTTTGAAAATATTAGTAGGTACGGGAACATTGGGATTTCATATAAATAGAAGTTTCTATAATTACAAAATGTATAATATTTTTATATCATTTAAAAACTAATTATTAGTTATAATTATGTTACACATAAATATAAGGAAGAGTTGCTATCAGCTTGCACGAGTGCTATAAGAGATCTCTCACGCGTGGTCCGGCAGTAGTAAACTTCACCCCACGGTTCGCTAGCGGATATCATTTGGATTTGTTCATGCTTAATGCATCTCGCAGAGCGCAGTTTTCAGTGAGCGCTCCAGAAGCCAGCTAGTGGTATTATAATTTATATTTGAAATTCCAGAATCGTTTGAAAAGTTATTATACGCAGGCGCTGCGTTTACTGTAACTCAGTATTATAAAGTTAAAAAAGGTATGTAAACTATATAATGGCCCTCACTAAAATAAAGCAACGCATTCTTTTATTGCTTAAAAGAAGTTGTTGCTATACTTTTCAATAGTGTTCACCTGTAAAAACAAGATGACTTCGGTCGGAAAAACTAAGTTCGAGCTACTGTACTTAACTTTAAACGCGGCTACAGTAGCGACTATCTGTTTTAATTAGTAGGAATAGATGGCCGTATAACTTTTAAATTATAATTTATTTGACTGACTGCACAAAAAAAAGCAAGGTTAGACAATAAACAATCTAAAATGCGTTCTAGCACAGAGGGCTAATAGAGGTGTAGAATAGTGTTATTAGCTAGTATTATATATGTTAGCGCGCGGAACCCATATTATAATTGAAAAAATAACAATAGTTTCTGGCAAAAAATTATAAAAGTTTTTAGAGCGAAAAAAGAAAAACCATAGACACAAATGTTTAATTTATTCAGTATTATAAAAAGCAATACGTAACGCTTTGCTACTTTATTTGCGATATTTACCTAGTTATAAGTGGTAAACTTATAAATATATTAACTAATTTAACTAGGACCAAAGTAAAAAAGGTCGTAATCTTCCAACTTATTATCTTCAGTTAATTCAGTCTTTGCAAATTCTAAAAAGAGCTCTACATTGATATCAAAAATAATGAAAGGTTAGGGGCTAACTTATTCGAATTTCTTTAAAAATAAATACTAATATGATTACCAGAGTCTTCATTGTCCTCTGTAATTGTATATTTCAAAGGAACTTCTATATCTTTCATCAAATAACGGTATTTATAAGTACAAAAATAAGCATAATTACTGTAACTAACCTTCATCTGGAAGAAGATCACCGATCCACTCTTCATCAACATAGTCGATATAGTATCGACTCCTATGATAATGGTTAAATCTACCATCTAGGCTCATGGATAGTTTTTTTCCTCCGTCAAGTAACTGCTTAAAAACTTCTACAGATTGTAATGTATACAGCAGAAAGCGAAAAACCCTACATAACAAAATATGCGAAGTGAAAACGGTAGTTAACACGAGCAGTGAGTATAAAAGTTTACAACTAGTTAAACTAATTTACAGTTTAAGGCGTGTACACGGGAAAAAAATAAAAACAAAATTACGAGAAAAAACAGAAAGCAACTTTTAATTAACTGAGTTTTACCCGCCTTATATTACTTTAAAAAAAAACTTTTCTTTAAAAAGTCAGTTATTCTGTATATAAAAACTTTTACTTATTTGTAACCACTATATAAGATTGGTTTTAATTATTTATATTACTTAATAAATTAAAAACTATTCGTTCTTGTTAATATGCTTAATTTCATCTCCTAAGGGCTTGACTGCCTTAATATACATATATATATCTCTCTCACAGAAAAACAGTTTCTGCTATGACTTCCTCGATGTAATTTAGCTATATGACTGGATGTTATTAACATTACTAAAAAAAATGCAGATGGTTATAGTTTGAAATCGTTTGCAATTCTCGCCTCTGATCTGGGTGAAGTTTTACTGATTGCTTGGTCAATAGTGTTTTCTGGTGCTCGATCGGGTTAAAGAAAAACACTGAATTTACGAGCTCTTAATAAAGTGAAAGCGTGCAAATTAGGTTTAAGCCTATGTTAAAGCAATCTCATATATGTTATATGTACATAAACCCTTTTAATTATAGTTTCAATCCCAACTATAAATTTAGAGCCCGCTGCGCGGTCGGGCGATAGCATGGGCGACCCCATGTTGCGTAACTGCTAGCAGTTAGTTAGTGTGCTCAAAAGCCGTTCATATGTATTATTAACATTGCGCCGAAAATAGTATCCAGGGGCTCGAGGCTATTGTCTCCAATCAGTAGACCCGGAAGTCATGGTTAAACGGTAAGTGGCAAGCATGTTTTCGTCGTTTAGTCATCTTTAGACTTTTATGATGCCGACAAGCGATTATTAAAATATGAAGATAGTTTTTGCAATTTAGAAATTTTAATCAGTTGAAAGGAATGACCCCGAATATATTTAGTAATATGGTAACATAACTTAAGAAGTGGGATCTACAAAGTTTTAGAGTTGTATTTATTGTAATGAGATATGCTCAGGTTGTTCGTTTATGTAAATTTTTATAAAAGAAGGAAGGTGAGGTCTATCTAGTAGGTTAAATGTCTGATTAAAAAAATTGACGTCCAAATTATTATGGCATAGACAACTATAAACCGTTTATATAAACCTTAAATGATTCAAAACTTGCAATTCTAGAAAAATTGCAAATAACTTTACCTTCTAAATGCAGGTGGTTCTCACTTATATTTGGCGTGTCACGAGACCCTTGCCTTAAAGAGCCATATTAGAAAGCGAAGAAACAGTGTTAAAATACCTATTTATATTAATGACTATTATTTTAAAAGGAAAAAAGGGGTGTGAGCCATTAAAAATAGAAATCATTTTAATGTTAAGTTTAAAATCTAAAGCAGATAAGCCATGAATACTTAAGAAACTTTGGTACTCCCCCAAGGCTCTCCTTCAATCTGAGTGTCCACCACCCAAGCAAAGCCTATACCTTATAACAGTATTAGCATCATTATTTCAGGACACAGAAAAAAAAATTTTAATTAAAGAAAAAAGTGACTGCCAAGAAAGAATACTGCTCGACAACTAACCCTGGGAGATTTTCCAAAAAAAAGTTTTTAAACAAACCATTTATGAGGGTCGGCTTAAGAAAGCATTATAATGAAATTGTAGGGAGAAAAATCCTTCCTGTTCAAAGAACACGCCTCAATTACTTCGGTAGGCTTGCCTGCTAGAAGAAGTTTCTTTACAACTTTTCAGAAAAGAGAATTTCATATATATGCAACACTTATTATAGGGACTAAAAAGGGCCTAGTAGAAGGGAATACAATAGTAAAGGAGGGCTCCCTGCTTTATTATATGATTTCTTCGTAAATGTTATATTATTCAAACATTCACATGTTAGTCTTTACGTTTATTTAAGTAACTGTAAAGTCCAATTTAATATCGCTTTAATTTATAAATTTCTGACCAATTAAAAAACCTTTCTCAATTTAAAGTCAGTCGCAACTACGTTTTCAAGTATACGTAAGGGCAAAAAATGCAACTTTCATATATATACGAAATATTCAGATGATTACATGAAGATCAAGGAGGTTGCCCTACTTGTGTTCTCTAAGTATCTGTTCAAGATATAAGGAGTAGTGACATATGTCCATTTACCTTTGGAACAAAATGGTTCTACCACCGTATTGAGTAATTAAAAAAAGAGTGTAGCTCCTGTAACAGAGGCATGTATATAAAAGAAAAGTAAAGAAACGTTTGTTTTGGAAATTTCCTATTGATCGAGGGGCCTCAAAAACCCATAGTGCTCTTTGTTAAGACCATCACATTATATATATTATCTACAAACCAAGTAGAGTATTCACTATTAATGACTGTAGCTTATTTAATAGCCGGGAGTTAAAAAAAAATTTATAAAATGACGCATTTTTTTGTTGTTGTTAAATTTCCTAATGCTGGCAAGAAAATGTACACATAATTTTTAAGTTTTACAAAAACACTAATAAGGAACTGTTGTATAAGAATAACAAAGTCTATAGACAAAACGAAAAAGGTTTAAAGTTTACCCGCTATGTTTTTCTGGACATTCAAGCAGTATGCCACGGAGTATTGTATTTTATTATACCATCCGGGCTAACAGGGCTTGCAGAAATGTCTTTTTCTTATGCTCACTGCAATTTTAAAGTGAAACGACTTAATACTGAATACAACTACTTTTTCAGTGGATACCAGGCTCGACATATACAGTCGTTAAAAGGACCCAATGTTTATTAAAAAGAATTGTTGTAAGAGCTACTAGTAATTATTTAATGATAAAAAAAAAATCCTAAAAGTTAGTCAAGCCAAAGAACCCAGAGCTACACGATGCAAGGGTGAGCCTTATCGGGTGTAATATGAAAATAACTCAAATATAGAAGCAAATTAGTAATATTACATCATTAAGAGGAACCGAGGCTTATTTTTGGGCGTGGCTAGTAGGCTAGAATACTGCTAAACCTATGCATACTTCGAGCTGAGGATTGCAGTAAACCATCAATATTTTTAACATTCTAAAGATGCTCTCTTGCTTTTAAAGGTCTTCCATCAAGCAAGCTATAAACAATTTATTTATAAGCTGTTATATGTTACAGTACACGCCCCATCCCAGAGTGTCCTACAGTGCAATAAGCAACTTAACTATTCTACAGGAACCTTAAATACAGATAGACGCGCTTAGAAACAAAAAAGCGTGTTGTGGTTGGGCTATAAAAAATAACAAAATGCTTGCAAAAACTTCAACCCACGTTTTTTCTTAAACTATTTATAACAAAAGGCACCAAAAATACACAACACAACGCTGAGGAGGTTGCTAAAATTGCAGTTTATTATAAAGCGAGGCCCTCCTTAATAAAGAGAGCGTGGCTCACCAGAGCGGTAACAAGTGCTTTATATGTCACGGAGCCCACAGGTTACTACAACCAGCGCTATTAAGCAAAAGTCGATCGCATAAGCGCTTCTCTGCATTAAAAAAAGCAGTTCTGTAATTTCTGTAAATATTATCTTCTCAATGGTCTCTTGTGTTATCGCTACTTTCGTCTATCGCACGCTCTGGAACTTCGCTGTGGAGGCAATACGAGACTCGCTTGCATGGACTGAGCCTTGAAAAACTCGCCTTCTCGAGTCCGAGACACGCACGAGGCAGGTTGGTGGGAGTCCCGCCCCTGCAAGAACCAATAGCACTGGAATAAAAGAAAACAGCGCAAAACTCAGCTACTTGAGCGTGGTACAGCGAACTGCGTACGTAGCGAGAGGACTCCTTCTCGCCCGGCCTGTCGCATGCCTTTCCCCGCAAAGCATTCTGCTGGAAAGCAGCAAAGCATCGTATAAAAAGAGACAAACTATAAAAATCTCAAAATCACCTGCTGCTCTGCAGATTTTCTGCTGGAGCCAATACCGTCAAGCGCTGGAAGCAAGTACAGTCAATAAGGACTTTACTATGCATAAAAATAAAAATTCCACCATTCTGATTGGAAGTGGAGCAGCCTGGCTTCCAATAGGGCGAGTCGGGCTCTTCTTTTTCGACAATAGTTTTCAAGTCGCCTAGTCTGGCGCCCTTGACCTGCCCGGAACGCCTGCAGAGTTTGTCGCGGTGCTTAGAGGTGCGCTTCGCTTTTAGATATTCAAGGAGTGGCGTTGTGGAGGTGTCCAGCTTTTTCTCAGACTCTTTATCTGCCGGTCTACTTTCTTTATAATGGAAAAAAAAATTAAGTCAACACACCAAATTAGATTAAAGAAATACCTCCTCCTTCGGATAGCGTAGCTACAAATTTTAGATAGTCCGCATCTTTATAAACTAAATTATACAAAAGAATAAGAAATAATAATAATATATACCGCTTTCAATCGTGTTTGCACGAGGATCCTTTCTCCTTGGTTTAGGGAACCTTTGGTAAGGCGCATACTCAACCACAGAAACGTACTCGTTACCTTAAAAACGATAACATATATAAAAAAATAATAAAAACTGCTACAAAAGTGTAGTTTAAACTTTTCTTCAATATTGATAATCTAAAAAATTCGCTAAATTGCCTATGATAAGTTACCTTTGCTATCTCGAAAAAGATGGTCCCTGAAACTTTGTCCGAAGTTAAGAGCATCTTCACTAGTTTTAAAATAAATGTACATTCGAGAAAAACTATTTTCTCCGAGTCTGTATGAAACAAAGTTTAAGTAATTCTAGTTTACTTTGTAGAGGGAATTACGATTTAGGTGCTGTGACAAATCTGCAAAAGTCGAAAGAGTTCACGTAAGAAGCCGAAGTTTCGATAAGAACATCTTCAGTTAAAACAGATGGCAAACGTCTCCAGACTATCTTAAGTTTGGCCTTACGCTCAGCCTTTCCATCGTTTTTGCTAACAACTTCGGCAAATTCTTTTCTAGCAAAAGTTTGAGAATAACATATTTCGGTATTTGGTTGCACTGGATCCATTCTACAACATTAAATAAAGTTTTTATAAGTTTTATATTTAAATTTAAAATTAATAAATTGTGCTAACGTTACAGTACTAATATATGAAAGTAAAGATGTTGGTGTACTTATCCTTTTTACCTAGATATTAGCTGGTGACTGACTATATATTGACACTAATAGATACGAATTGTTTAAACCATTATTCTTGTTAAAATAAGAAAAGTTTTTATTATGCAAGAAAAAATGCCTCAAAAACAAGTGCCGATTAATAAAGATATTATCTCGAGTAAACTAGACGCCAGAGACATCTAATAAAGAGAAAAGTTTTGGTACACACGCCGTTCCTAAGATCTTTACAAAAAGACGAAGAAGTACTTTAGAGTAGGTTATACAAACTTCTCAACACATGATTTATAACATCAAAGCAAAATAATACAGAAATAATATAGTGCATCACAACACCAGTCGAAGACTAAAACTTTATTATATTAAGCTTTCACTCTAATAAGAGTTGTGTCACATGTAAAAGTTTCCGCTAGATTACCTCCTCTCCTTTGAACGTGCGGTCTAAACTTTTCCGCCATGCAAAATAGTAGTTGCATACTTAAAAATAAGAAAAGTCGCTTTTTAATGTTTCAAGTCCTTGCGCACACTTTTACCTTGATATTTAGTTTAATAAAATACTCTTTACTTGAATATATATTTCGGTAAACTAAAAGTAATTTACCCCGCGAACGTCAAATAACGAACACCGGGTTTAAAGCCAGGAAATTATAAATTAGGGTATAATTTCCGTAAAGTAAAATTTATAACTTTGAATACGAACTAAGTTAAGCCAGCACTTCGTTACTCACAATAAGATAATAATATTTTTTTATACAAGTCACTTAATAAAACAGCATATTTTATTATAAAAGTACTAATTCGAAACATAGATTAAAAAACGTGTGCTCCTTTTTTTAAGAACTGAGGCTAATTATCTGCAAGACATGTTAAGAGAAGAGCTGTACCAAAAGTAATGCGCAATTAATGTAACATTAAACTAGAAAGTGGTCGTACACTCTACTTTTATACAAAAATGCCCTTCTATATCATTAAAAGAGAGCTTAGTAGTGCCTTAGAATCTTATTCACATCCTTTTATTGAACTTCTTAGTAGATTATTTTTATATACAGATCACGAAAGTACTGGGAGTACGGGCTAAAAAAAGATTAATGGCATACCATTTCGCCCATTACCTAATTAAGTTGTTTGTTTAATGACTTTTTCTTTTAGGCAATTAAACATATTAAAGGGTATAACCTTTGTTTTCGACATGAACAACCACATGGGGCCACGCTCCTGTAAATTAGAAGTTAACATTTCTTTTAAACGATTCGTCCATATTTATTATACGTTTAAGGGAATAACATAAATATATATTTTCGCTAAATTATCAAAAGTTCATCTTTCACATCCCAGGGGAGATAGGTAACGTGATACTCTTGACCATCAGGAAGGTCATACCTTATCTCGCTGGTGACAGTGGATATCCTTAACAAAGTATAGGGTTTTTGCCACCTTGAACGCTTAATTTTACGTAACACCTACATTGGAGTTTTTTGTAGATATTTTAAAAAACTCTGTCAGTAGTTCTTGCAATGTTTTCATAAGTAAAAAAATGTTTAAAACCCATATTTAGCCAATAAAGTGTGTAATATAAAAAGGTTTTCCGCTTTTACAATGACTATTTCAATAAATGCTAACAATTTTTTATTAAATACCGACATGTGCTGATTTCACAGGCTGTAAGCCTTCGAGAACTTGTATACTATAGACAGCAATGTAATATAATATAGATATATAGTATATTATAGCGTCATTCGCGTTTCATCCACTCTTAACTTGGGAGGGAAGAAGTTGAGTCAAAGGTTTAAATTAAAAGTTATCTTTATTAGTTTGATGAACTCTTTAAGAGCCCGAGTATATGAAGTTGTTAATACGATTGAGTACTAGGAACATCAGTCAGAGATGTATAAATAAGCTTCTTTTATATATTTACGTGGTTGTGCGGTGCCTGCTTCTCGCGCTTAACGGCATTGGTGGGCTAGTAAACTTGTATATGATATATATTTCTAAATAGTTGGACCTTTAAAGGTTCAATTTTAAGTATTAGGTTATCAGTTTAATTTTGCGTTAAAAAACTTTATTTAGTCAAATACAACCATTGACCTATAACTTTACCCATTTAATTCAGAAGTTTCTACAATTCTCGTAAGAAAACAAAAATTTTAAAATATATCACATTTTTTTTAGTGAAGTTAACAGAACAATGCAGGTGCTTCAGAACATCATTCCGGTTATACTTCCCTTCGTTATCTGTTGCGAAAAAAATTGTTGTAAGCCTGTGTAGTTTTTATATTAACTAACTTTAATAACTGGTCTAAACTTTTTTTTTTTTAATAATTATTAGGTTGCAAGCGGTTTAAAATTAAGTTAACATGGTAAAACTTATAATTCAGGATCTACATAAACAATGGAAGTTATTAAAAAATATATTTTCATAAATATTTTTGTTTCAGTTTGGATATAAACTCTCTTTTTAAAACTTATAAGGATTTTACAACAGTCGAACTATCTCAAAGATCATATGAATTTTAGTTATTTAACTTAGAAATAGTAATTTTCAAAGTTAGTTTAATCTCGATCAAAGTAATAAGTTTTTCTATACTGCAAAAGTTTTCAATAAAGTTTTTAAATAACTGCGGCCCACCCTTATAAGTTTCTTTTAAATAGCGCCCCTTCACTATTTGGCTATAATAAAAATTAGTTTACAACAACTGAAAAATAAGAAAACTCTTAAGTATTTACGTACTCTCAAAACAAAATTAAGTTAGCGCTTCTTAGTCAAAAATTATTAAAGGATTGCCATATAATGAAGACGAAAATGCCCCTCACGTGCACGTTATAGGCAGAAGTGTTGAGCTAAGATACAAGATTGATACATCGAATTATATGTAAATACGGAATTTGTAATTTTATAAAATGGATATGAAAAAAACTATTGCACTTGAAAACAAGGAAACAAGCGATGATATACTTTTGAAAGATAGACCAACTGAGATTGAGAGTTACTGTGTACGTTGTCATGAGAAAGTTAGTCTGTTATTTGCATTTACAAATTTAACTTGAATACCAATTAACAAAAATGAATCTTGTCATTTTGTTTTATAGGGACTAACAAAACTTCTATGTACCAATATTCCTTATTTTGGGGACGTTATACTAATGGCTTTTTCATGTCCATGCGGTTTTGAAAATAATGAGATTATGCCTGGAGGTTCCTTGCAAAAATTTGGTGTCCGGTTTACTTTAACTGAAGTTAATCTTTCGGTTTATTTTTTTTGACTGTATATGTTACATAGTACTATATATAATTTTAAAGGATTTAAATAGGCAAGTCGCCAAGAGTCAGTATGCCTCTATACAAATTCCAGAGCTCGAGTTTGAAATACCACCAGGCACTGGTAAACTAAGCACTATAGAAGGATTTCTTCAGGAAGCCATCTACGGTTTACAATATGACCAGCCAGCCAGAAGGGCAAGTCATAACTTTGAGTAAGTATTCGTGCTTTTCTCACTTCCTTAAAGGAGAAGTGTCAGGAGGAGGCTGATAAAATTGACATCTTTATTGGTTTTATTATGAATCAATAAGATTAAAGCCGACGTCTCAGTATATATATTTGAAAGAAAAATTGAAGGAACTGGCCAACGGGAAAGACTTTATGTTTATACTAGACGATCCGTCGGGCAACAGTTTTATAGAGAATCCTCACGCCCCTAATGCAGATCCTAAACTAACTCTTGAGAAGTATCCTCAAACTAAAGTGCAAAGTATCCGGCTTATTATATGATTTCGTGTGCCTCAACTGTAAAACTCGATGATATTCAGTCGAGGCAATGGGATACCAGTACGAATTGGAAGAAACGCACGCCAGCGAAACGGATGTGGAGGATATATATGAGCTGTCTAGCCTCTGCAGCAACTGCCGAGTACTCCATACCTCCAATGCCGTGTGCGCCCTTTTCCTGCGCTCCTTCTCCTGTAGGCGAATGTCAAAATCAACGTCCAGAGAGTGGATATCCCCCATTTCAAAGAAGTCATCCTCATGGCCATGAGCTGCGACCAGTGCGGTTATCGCTCCACTGAAGTAAAGGTACCATCATCACGTGACCAGTTCTTCATTTGTTGATTGGCAAACCGGAGTCATTGTGCAGGCCGGGGGCATCATTGCTGAGCACGGCATAAAGTTTATTCTCAAGGTGGCTTCTGCTGAGGACCTCAACCGCGACGTTATTAAGGCATCCGCTCTACTTGGTTTTCTTGTGAAATAATGCAGATGTAGCGCACTTTAGTCGAGCTTTTCTACCGTTTCTGTGCCCGAACTCCAGCTGGAGCGGGCCACCGGCTTCGGAGAGGACAAGTTCACCACCGTCGAGGGGTTACTGGAAGACATCCGAAACAAAGTTCTTTCAGCCTTTTTTCTGGTTTTTCCCACGTGGTAACTGTAGGCGCACCACCAGCTGCTACAAGAAAATCCTTTTATTTACGGCGACGCCGCGCCTTTTGAAACCAAGAAAAAGCTCGACGAGTTTCTGTGCAACCTCGAGCGTGTAATACAATTATAACCAAAAACATTTCTTTAAAGCTTTCTTTTTTTTGTGCTGCAGCTGCAGAAAGGCGAAAGAAGTTTCACTCTTACGCTGGACGATCCGACAGGCAACAGTTATATACAAAGCATCAACGATCCGGAGACGGACTCCCACTTAAGAGTGGAGGTTTTTTCTTATAGCCGTCTCACGTGGTTTTTTCATTATTGTTTTCTTTAATTTAGCGGTACACCAGAACTAAAGAGCAGGACGAAGATCTAGGGCTGACTTGTATGAAGACTGAAGACTCCTACACGGTTGGCGCATTTTTTGTAATTAAATTCGTGAATATTAAATTGTTTGACTCGCCAGGAAACAGATTAAAGTCGAAGTGCGAATTTGTTTACCAATAACAATAAAACATACGCTTCTCAGTTTATTATAAATTCAAACTTGTCATGCTACTTCAGCAAGAATAGACAAGACGGTTGCGCCTAGAGAGCGAAGTTGTAGTTCCTCATCTGCGCCGTCGTTCAAACACCAGTCGACCTGCTTAGAAAAAATTAAAATAATTTTATATCTGAAGAGGATCTTCTTCTCTCCTGCGAAAACAGACCTCCGACATTTTTAGGAAAATGCTACACTTTTGCGGATCAGTCAAGGAGTTGTCGGCGAGATAAAAGTCGTGCAGCTGTGCAGAGCAAAAAGGCTTATACAGCGGAGCTAGGAGCACAGTGACAGGAGCGCAGATGGACCTGCTGCAGGACGCTAGTGACCGAGTAGCCCTCGTTGATCAACGCCTTCGCCTTTGCAGAGACGCTGGTAAAAGAGCCGCTCCGGAGACATTCGACTAATTCCAGAATCACTTTTTCCGGGACGACCTGCGATTACGCCGAGAAATATTTATATTCAAGGGAGGAAGAAGGAAAAAGCAATCAGTTTATCGTCCCGTAAATACATTCCGGGAATATATACAATTTGTGGGACGGACGTAGAAGCACGTGCTATGTCACGTGTTAATAAGCACATGATATATTGCACGTGAATAGACACTTGGTATGAGCACGTTAACGGGTATGCAATGGCACGTGTTTTATCACAGTTAACTCCAACATTATTAAAAAAGATTTAAGTAAAACCCCAGCGACAGACAGAACATCGGAAACTGTGATGGCAGCCTGGTCTTTCCAGCGAAAACAAGTTTGTAAAAGAGTAATGCATTTGCGTAGATCACCGCTGGAAACTTTAATTAGCGTCTCGATCATCTTTAAATTAAAAAAAATTAAAATTTAGAGAAAAGTTATAACGAACAAATTTCACGTTGTCCCCAAGGGAAATGGCTTCCTGCTCTGCAATCATTTTGATATGCTCTTCCATTAAGCTATAGGGTAGAGGTTTAAATCGAAACTTTGCACAGCGGGACGTTAACGGCTCAATGATTCTAAAAAGTTATAAATAATTAATTAAGTTATCTCAAAGATTAAGCCACGCAGTAACAAGTATAATCGTTAAAACTTTAGTACAGTAAAAAAGCAAAAGGTTCTTATTTCACTTATAGATTACTAATTTTGATGAACCTGGTAACATAATTGCATATAAGGCAAAATCGGGTCATCTTAGAGTAGACCTCCATTGTACGGCGTAAGGCCGCCTGGGCATCCTTCGTCATCGAATCCGCTTCGTCCAGAATCACAACTTTAAATAGCGGTGCGCTTGAAAAATAATTTAATTTTATGAAAATATATTACGAAACTATATTATAAAAATAAGGAAGGTGAAAATAAGAAGTAATTATAAAAGTAAGAACTAACTACGTTTTGCTCACCGAGACAAGAGATTGCGCAAATTTTTTTACTTTCTCGCGAACTACATCGATTCCGCGCTCATCCGAAGCATTTAATTCTAAAACCCGTTCTTTATATAGTTCAGGGCTTGATATTATCATTATTAAAGATAAAAATTCTTATAATGAATACTGTGAAAAACCCAAATATTTGATGAGAGAGAGCTAGAATAGTGGAAGTTTTTCCGGTTCCGGGGGGCCCATAAAATAAAAGATGAGGAAGCTGGAAGAAAAGTTGAAAAAGAAATCGTCCTTCATAAAAAACAAAATTCATAAGACGAAGAAAGATGAAAGCTTATCATACATTTCCAACTTTGACAGCAGCACTTAGAGAAGCCACTACTTCTTCTTGGGAGACAACCTCATCGATGGTCTTAGGTCTGCTAAGTTATAAAAAACAAAGATTTAATAAAAAGGATTTTTAGAGTACCGTTTAATAAAACTTATTATTAACAAAATAGCTTACTATTTTTCTACCCATGGCTGGGAAATACCACCAACCTTAGCACTATTTGGTATACTTTTAATAAAAGAAGGGGACATCGCAGTACTTACAAGAGAGCCTAGTAGTAGTATGTCGCATGCACCGAAAAGTACACCCCCAAAGCCTGCTCACAGACACTTTGCACTAATCTCCGAGTCGCCTATAAAAATTTCTACTTTTTTTTTTTTTTCATTTTTTTACTACATTATTAATACTTATGTCTAATAAGAAGATTTTATATGTTGGTATGTTTTAAATGATATTCTACTTTAAAATGTTTAGATGTTTGTCAATAATATCACAACATCCACCCTTAGGTGGTTTAGATCAAGAGGTTACGAAGGAAATCTTACATGCCGCTTTTATCCCTTTTGGAGAAATATTTGACATTATTATCCCTATAGATTATGAAACAGGTTTATATTGTTTGAGGTTGACCTTGTTACTTGGACAGAGTTAGCATAGACCTTTATTTTTACTATTATATTGTTAGTGTATATGCTGGTCTTAGGTTCTTTATATTTTTTAGCAACTTTTTTTTTTTAGTGCAATTATTTATCAGCTTTTGCTTTTAGAGTTAAGGAAGTACTATTATTTTGTAATAGGAAAGCATCGGGGCTTTGCATTTGTTGAATTTTTTACTGTGGAAGACGCTTCCGCTGCTATTGATAACATGAATGATTCTGAGCTACTGGGCCATACTATACGAGCTTGATTTATAATCTTTTTCTAATACATCAACAGCTAAGTTATTTTTTGTTTTAAGGTTAACGTTGCGAAGCCGCAAATCATCAAAGAAGGTTCCATGCGTCCCATTTGGACAGAAGAAAGCTGGCTGAAAAGGTTTGGTAGAGGAACGGGAGAGGGCCAGGCTGCAAGCGAAGAAACTACTGACTCAGTAGCTCAAGTCTTAATAAAAATTTTTCCTAGCAGACTTTTTACTAAGCGCTGCTGTGCTTTACCACGTTCTAAAGGAAGACCTAACCTCGGTCGAGATGACTGGGAGTAAAGGCAATCCGTTGGTTTACTTAGACATTGCGATTGCCTCGGTTCCTATAGGAAGAATCAAAATAGAGGCAAGTCGGCCAGTTTCGTTCTGGATTCCTACAATGAACTTTATAATTGACAGCTGCGAAAAGACGTCGTACCGCGAACAGCAGAGAATTTCCGGCAGCTGTGCACGCACGCTCGAGGGTTTGGCTACAGGGGAAGTATCTTCCACCGCATCATCCCGCAATTTATGGTGCAAGGCGGTGATTTTACACACGAGGACGGCACCGGCGGGAACTCAATTTATAACGGCACGAAACACTGCTTTCTTTTGAATTGGCTATTTATATTAAATTGAGTGAAATGCCTGCTTTTCTATAGGCCCCTTTGAGGACGAAAATTTTCAGCTGAAACACACCGGAGCAGGTTGGCTTCGGCCTGGTACCTTCTGCCTCTCCTCTCTCCAGCTAACTCGGTTGGGCGTGTAAAGGGGTCCTTTCGATGGCGAATTCCGGCCCCAATACTAACAAATCGCAATTTTTTATCTGCACCGCAAAAACGGAGTGGTACTTATGCGCGACCCCGACGGCTTTTAAATAGTAGCCTTGACACTAAACATCGGTTACCAGGCTCGATGGAAAGCACGTGGTGTTTGGAAAGGTCGTCGAGGGTAAGTTGAATAACCACCACATGGGCCAGGAGGAGGTTTCCTATTGGTTCTGCTTACAAGGGATGGAGGTGGTTAAGAAAATGGAGGAGGTTGGCAGCAAAACCGGAAGACCCATGAAAAGAGTGACGATAGTCGATTGCGGGGAAAACAGCTGAGTAAAGGTTGATGCTGTCTGGCGGACTCGCCAACAACGTAAAACAAACTTTATTGTTGGCTGTTTGTCACTGAAGCTCAAGCAATTAGAGGGCGGTGATCAGTGCGCATCTCTGCTCCTTAGGACATATTGAAGCAGATCATTCATTGTTACCTTGTAAAGTAGCTGGATTATAAAGAGCGTTGAGAGAGTTAATAATTTTTTTTTTTTTTTTAGGGAATTCTGTGGTTTACTTCTTGCGTGTGGTCATCAGTTACGCAGCAGAAATACTTTTTTTGCAGGAGTTTGTCAACTTTAGAAAGCTTTGTGCTCAACTTGACGTTCTTAGAAGTTTTTTAAAAAAGTCTTGTAAGTCAAACAAAAAGTAGCACCAAAGCGCGCTACCTGCACTTTTTGTCCCAGAGAAGATAGCTCCTGAAGGCGGCCTACAGGAGACGCATCTGTCAGTCGTCCGCTTTTAAAGTTGCTGAGGAGTATATCAGTAGCAGCAATCCCCACCACCTACAGCTCTGTTGGACGTGGTGCTTGGCTTGGTTAGGGAATTGTATAATAAGACCTTATTGGAGGTATCCACAACTGGCAGCCACTCGGTGTCTACCTTCGCCAAGGCTTCGCAAGCTTCCTTGCACGTGGCATCTAAGTTATATATTAGAATTAAGCAAAATCCTTGGGTTCCTTTCTGCTGACCATTTCTGATCCGTTCTGTTCTCTCTAGCTTCAAACTGCCTATAGTGCCGCCGTTGTAGTAGTTTTCGGAAGCTTTAGGCGAACTTTCTAAAAATCCTGCTGGCGCCGTTTAGTTTTAGGCTACACACCGCATGGGAGTGATCGGAAATGAACCGTGTAGTTCCATCCATTCGTCTTTCAAAAATTTGCTCATATAGTTCCGTAGTCCGTCTGGCAGTACCACGACGCAAATCTGACCCTCTTTGAGCTCTCTTGCAGCCTTGATTGCTGCGGCCATAGCGGCACCACTAGAACCTCCGCAAAGTAGGCCTTTTAAGCATGGTAGTACAAGTAGTTTTTTTTTCCCTGATCGGTGGAAGCTGGTTACCTTCCAATTTTATTAGTTTGCGTGCCATTTCAAAAGAAGTTTTGTCGTCGGCTGCGGAAAAGTTATAAGCTCATAAAAACCCAGTAAACCATGACATTTTGTCAGGAGTTTATATGTACTCTTAATCCACGAGTCTATCACGCTTCGATTCAGCGTTTTTGGGACAAAATCGTATCCAATGCCCTCGACTAGCCAGTTACCTTTCTTGGCGTTCGTGGGGTCCGGTTGTGAAAGAACAGAGCCTACAGGATCAACACCAACAATCTGGGATGAGTAAAATACAAGTTGGAAATAGGTATATACACAATGACGGCTTACCTTGACGTTCTGATTTATTTCTTTCAGTTTTTTGGCAACCCCCGTAATAGTGCCTCCTGTTCCTTTTATGTAGAAGAAAAATGTAATGAATAACTAATGTTGGTATTATTTGTTAGCGATGCACCTGCGCCAGCGACGAACATATCTACCCTTCCACCGCACTGACTTAAAATTTCTTCTGCAGTTTCTTCATAGTGCACAATAGGATTATACTGATTCTCATATTGGTTTAATATACACGAATTCTTTATCTTGTGATAAGTTTATAGTTACTGCTTCGAGATTAAAGTAACCAAATTTAGTTACTACTTCACGATTAAGGCTCTGAGCAACGCCTATATGCGAATCCGGAGATTCGGATGGAACTTCTGTGGGGGTTCGGATAATTTTCGCATCGAGAGCTTTCAACACGTCGACCTACTAAGATAATTGTTCTGTAAAACAAAAAAATTAGTGGCGCTTAAATTGCCTTCTCATCGCTCACTTTCTCAGGCATACACATAATGCAGCGGTATCCTTTAACGGCAGCACAGAGAGCAAGTCCGATCCCCGTGTTACCTTTTTAAAGTTAAGCATGTTGGCAATTGAGGAAAAGGAAGAGAAAAGTGGACCCGATGTGGGTTCAATTATGGTGTATCCAGGCTTAATTATATTAGATTTCTCAGCTTCTTCGAACATTCTAATCGAAATCCTATAATTTTAGGGCCGTACTATCAAGGATGTACTTATCAAAAAGAGTTTTTCCATCTCACCTATCCTTAACCGAGCCACCACAACTGAAAAATTCGCACTTGGCATCTTTATAAAAGTTTATAAAATAGAAATAAATGAAAGGAAACTAGCTATATACTTTATTTATTTAATATTTATATATCATATTTAAAAATAATAAGAAGGAAGAGTTAATTACAGAGTTCGCATTGTAGTCCATACTCTTTAATTATATTTCCGCAACGAATCATGGGAGTGTTACCAATATATTCCAGTACGCTGGAAAGAACTTTGTTATTTAAAGGTCTATAATGTTATTTGTAGTTAGCCACGAAAAACTGGTATTATCGAGGTTAATAAGTAATGAACAGTTTTTTTCTGCTGTCTTCCATATTAATAATAGCAAGACCAGATCTTATGTTCACATAGGGATTATTGGACACTAAATGCTATCTTAAAAGGGAAGGGTAGATAGAGTGCTGAAAAAAAAAAAATCGAGAATTTAGTTGTTTATAAAACTATTGATAATCATCACATTTCTGTCTTTTGTGGTTGAGAGGTGATTTATATAGTAATAAAACCATGAAAAGCTTGTCTTATATAGCACAAGTAGGAAATTATTGCTTTCCATTTTAGTGGTTGTATCTCTCCAATCAGTAATTTTACTTTCTTAATTACTTTACAGAAAAAGCTTATAACGCATGACGTAGTTGAATTCAGTTTAGCTAACGCGCGATGAAAGAAGCCCACAGCAAAGCAGCGAACGACAAGTGAAGTTTGTGTACCGCCCCTAACGGCTTCCCTGAGGAATTAAAGGCATTAATATGCGAGCGTTGGCAACTCATCCGAGTAGTCACGGCCTTCCAACGCGCAGAAGACAAAATACTTGTGCTAAAACCTCCTTCATTGGCACATCAGGAAAAAGCTGGAGGCACATATAAACTGCCAATGGGATAACAAATTAAACGAAGGATCGGAAGTCGGTGACGTCGGTCGCGCCTCTTTTTGGAAATTTGTTAAGCGAGTTCGAAATCGCGGACGTTCGATTCGACCACCACTTCACAACAGCGATACAGTAGCCGAAAGCGATGAAGATAAAGCGAAAACTTTTTGCTGATCATCTAGCTGCCCAGTGTTCGCCATCCACCCCTTCAACCGTAGACAACGCTCCCCTTGTGCCTAATCTTATTTCCAGTGATCTATTTGACCTGTCTAACACAGACGAGAACAAATCAATTATCAATTTACTACCGAAGCGAGAGGCTCCCGGCTCTGACGGCATCACTAATCCGGCTGTTAAGGCAATTGCCAGAGGCTGCTATGAATCATCTGTACGGTCTCGTCAACTCGGTGTTGGCCTTCGGCTATTTCCCCTGGCGTGGGGAAATGGCGGTGGTCGTGGTGCTACCACAGACGACGCAAATGGCGTCAGTGCCTCACAACTATCGACCCGTCAGCCTTTTGGCGACAACCGGTAAGATAGTTAAAGTAGTTATACTTAATCCTTTGAAGGCGGTTGTGAACGCTAGTGGAATTTTACCAGAGCTTCATTTTTGGATTTCACAAGGGACACTCAACGACCCAACAACATATTCTTCGCCTAACCGAGTGGACGATCAGAGCCTTTAATTTCTAAAAAAGCCTCTGGCGCTGTCTTTTTCGATGTTGAGAAGGCGAAGGCTTTTGCCGAGTATGACATGGTGGCCTGTTATCATGCGAGCTACATGCTTTGGCGGTACCGCGCGGCCTTCAAGAAGTTCTCAAGCCGTACCTAACCTGCCGGTCTTCAACGTGCGAGTAGGCGCTTCACTGGCGTTCGCCTCGCTATCTTACAGCAGGGGTTCCGCAAGACTCTCTTTTATCACCGCTGTTATTCGCACTCTATACTAGCGACATTCTTCTTCCGGTTCACCCTCACACGCGGGTCGCCATTTACGCCAAATAATACGATGATTTTATTTTTCGTCCAAGTCACCCGTTTTACTATGCCAGCACTTACAATTTTATCTTGTAAACGCTTGCTAGCTGACTTCGTCAATGGGACCTCTCCCTTAATGCAGCAAAGAGCAAGGCGCTTCTTATAACGAAGAAACACCATGCGCTGTTGCCTCCGTTAACTTTTAACGGCATGGAAATTCCGTGGTATTTTCAGGTAAAATACCGGGAGGCCACTATTGATTCTTGGTTGACTTGGCGTCCACACGTAAATTACTTGGCGGCGAAGCTCAAGGCAGCAACCCAGGTCCTATATCCTTTATTACACTGCAAAAGTAAACTTTCCTTGTACAATAAGCGAAGCCTTTATGTGCTGTGCATTTCGGTCGATTATGGCATATACATCTCCTGCCTGGGCCTACGACGTATCGGCGATAACCTCATCGCTTCAAGTGCAACAGACCAACTGCTGCGCCTTTCCACAAACGCGCGGTGGTTTGTGCGCAATGAATACACCACTACGAACTACGGACTGAACTGCTGACCCACACTCTTTAAAAAATGATGCCGTCGCCCCCTCTGCATGGAAAGCTTGACGCGCTAATCGCCTACTAGCGGAAGAACTCACTTACGGGTTGTGGGACGGTGCACAGTACTGCCTTCCACGCGACGCACCTCAGCCCCCCACGTCGATTGAAAGCTAAGTGGGGGTTTTAAATTGAACGTAAAGGGCACATGTTAAGACGATAATTTTACTTGCACTTTGTGGAAGGCTAAAAACCTGGTGTGAGAGCTCGGGTATTCGAAGTTGTCAACTCGATCGAGCACCTGTAGAACGCCCTTAGTAAATAAATTCAATTAAGCTATTCAATCTTTTTTTTTTTTTTTTTTTTTAATTAAAAGCTATATGCTTCTGTCAAGAGCAGGTACTACATTCATAATTGTAGTGTTAGAGATTTATTTTATAGTGAAAGGCCAGATATCTATTTGTTATGCTAGCACGTTCAACTATTTTTGGGCTTTCGCTCTTCAAATTTAGATAGTTTACATACCGGTGACCTGTTTTAAGTTAAAGGAGTGTATACAATCGAGCAATGCTTACTTCGAAGAAAATTATATTTTAGTCCTTTTACAAATATAAGAACTATTAAAAAGTATTTTTTTTTAAAAAAAATATTATTTCATCACATGACTTCCTTTTACTCAATAAAGCAATCTTTTGTTTTTCGGAAGAGCAGCTAACATCTCTCTTTCTCCTGCAGAGTTTATTAAATACCATTTACTTCTCTTTGTTATTTTTCAAAAACTACATCATAGGTTTTTATAATAGGAAACTACTGTCCTCCATAATTCCAGTGTAATATCATTAGGTTTTTCTTTTTAAAAGCAAGCCTAGCCCTCGAAAAAGAGACCTTGGGAATTTGATACCGTAATCGCTTTCAAATTTAAAAATCAGGCTTACAAAATAAAGGGTTGTTAAAATTTGCTGGGCGCGATCCCCATTAAAAAAGGCTATCACTGCATGTGTCGATGCATATACGGTCAAAATAAAAATAGAAGAGAGACAAATTTACTAGATATAGAACAATATGTGTACTTGCATAAGTTCTCCTACTAACGAAATACAGTTTTTCACTTATATACTTTATAATAATACTACAAAAGTAAGCCTTCTCGGAATTATTATTAAATGTTTTTAAAAGTAAAAATCAGGCAGTTGCAAGCAACAAGGTAAAAGTTATGATGGTAATAATAATTTTTAATCTTTGGAAACACAAAATTTAGCAGAGCATTCCTTTTTTACTTAGTCATTTTAAGTTATTAGCTATAATATAATAATAAAACAAACCGCACCGCTTAAGTTTAGGAGAATTAGGAAGGCACAAAATTTCTAACCTCATGCCTACCTCTCCACATCTCGGGCATGCCAGTGCACCGTGTTTTTTTATTTATGGCTTCTAGTCAAGTGCGACTAATTTAGTATAATGTTTCTCTTATTTATATATTTTATGGTATGGAAGTGCTTTAGTTTAAAATACATTCCTTCACAGTGCAACTTTAGTTATGCTCCTAATCCTGTGCCTTTGGTGCCAGGTCTTTCCTTGACACAGGTCACTATTTTCCACAGGCATGGAGACAGAGGTTTATAGTTTTTATACTCAATCTTTTTTTAACTTTAAAAGATAATTATATAAGTAACAACTGAAGGCGGAAAGTGTTGGGAAGAAGATTCAATGGAGACTGACTTTGATTGCAAGTTAAAAGTGGGTTTTGTACTTTTAAACGAAAGCGACGTTTCTCCTACAAGAGCGTACTTACAACGTTATGATAACAGAGACTCATTTCCATATAAAAACTGTTACCCTGGTAGGATGTGCGATATAGGGTTATTGTTATTATATAGTAATTTTAGCTTAAAATAGGGCAACTTACCTCTAAGGGCTACGAAATGCAGACAGAAAACGGTAAAATGCTGCGGAGTTCTTATGTGGAATCCGGGTAACTGTTGCAAGTTTTCAGTGCTACTCTTTTTTTTTTTAATTATTTTTCTGCTCTAGTTTTCTTTCGTCCACTCCCTTGAATTCCGAATTGTACTTGCGGGCAGACACTGTACTTTTTTACTGTACAATTACACTTTAACTTTGTTCTATTTACTTCTGCGCCCACTGGGATAAGGTGCCCCGTGTTATTCAATCACTTCAAGCACTTATTAATGGGATGTACCCTATAGACAACTTGAGCGCACTGGAATTCAACACGCAAGCACTTGAGCTTGATCCCATTTGGGGTTATGATTTCTGCGCGAAATCCAGAAGTTATTCGGAAGAGTTTGAACAGTCTGTTAGCCCTAAAAAGAAGCAGCTGGATGCTCAGCGCAAAAACTTTTCTATAATATTGCATAGACAATTTGGAACTTTTTCAGAGAACGTGTGTTTTCATAAAACTTTATATTATAATTAATTTATTAATATATTTAACGCAGTTAGACCACCTTTGGGATTGTATGATCATGCATAAATGTCACGGCTATGAAACTCCGCTTACCAAAGAAAATTTAGAGCTGGAAAAGGACTTTATAGAAAAAATGAGCTTTATTTACGCCGAGACTACAGCGCTCAACGGCACGTACCCTACTTTAGAAAAAAAGTCTCGAGTTTCCATAGGGATTTTACTTAAAGAGTGGAAAGATCGCTGGGATATAGCCGTAATGCAGGCCAAACAGCGATTCTCTATCAATAACACAGGGAAAGATACCAATTCTAATGATGTAGAGTACCACCAGAGTATTTCTAGGAACCTTTCATTTCACAAATTTGCTGAGTATAGCGGTCACGACTTGGGCCTCCTGTCCATCTTGATCGCCTTTGGTTTTTCCCAGCAGAACTGGCCGAGATACTCTTCGTTATTACAGTTTGAGTTGTACGAGGAAGATAATTTAAAAACTGAACCAAACTTTTTCCTTAGGCTAATTTACAACGGTGTAGAAACTCCTTTTCCTTTTTGCGGAAAGTTTTCTATCCAAAACTCGCATCATTTGTGTCCTTGGGAAGTCGTTAGAGACTATTTAGATAAAATAACTCCTACTAATATTAGTGCTGAGTGTCAGAATGATAGAAACCCAGGCGAAAACGACACGAAGGAAGACTATTCTTCTCGAGTTTATAGTATTAACAAGTGGGAAGTGGTGACTATATTGCTTGCTATACTACTGAGTGTAGGCTTAGGGGCTTTAATTGGTTATTATTTTTTCAAAAAAAATAAAAACATTCACCCTTACAATGACGACCTTGTGGGAGAATCGGAAGAAAGTTGGGAAAATAATTTAATTTAACTAAAATCCTACGAAGAGTTTCCACTACAGAAAGTTTTCATGAACTTGGAAAATATTTACATATCCTATATTGATTGTACCTTTAATATGGACAGACTTGCCAGTCCTTATACTTTATTGGCTATAATAAAGTTTAACAAATTGTATTATTTATACCTTTGTTAGTTTCCAGTATTTTCTTATATGGCACACTTTTTAAAACTAGAAATTAAAAAGTTTATCTTTTTTTGTAAATAGTCAGATCCGTTACGGCGAGCACATCTTCCGAATTATACAATTTTTTTGTAATTTTGCTTCTGTAGATGCCCCATTTTGTTCGCACAAGCTTTGAACCCTTAATCCACCTGTTCTGCCGCTTTATTGTATAAAATTCTTCACCTTTCGTATCAATTAGATTTTTACCCATAATATCTTTTAGATTAAACTTTGTATAACCGTTACTGGAAGAGTACTTAACTTCCACGTAAGCTTGAATCCACTTCCCTGAAAAAGCGGACATGGGCCCAAGTTCATGAAAGTTACCAAAATCCGTATAGTAAAATTTGTCGGCGTTTGATTTTTGTTCAATTGTTAAAGTAAACATGGGCGTCCCATCCACGTCACCTACAACTTTAAGCTGAAATATATGAAAAAAGTTTTTGCTTGCTTTTACATTTCCGTTTATTTTAAACCACCACATGTATACCATAGTTTCATCTTTTAAAGCAATAATCCTTTCAGCTGATTTTTCGGAAGCCTTAAACTCAGTTCGCTGTCTATCTTTTAGGTCTCCGCTACCATCCCCGTCTAGATCCCGGTGCATTATAACGTTAAGCACTTGTTTTCTTATTTGTGGATCCCACACAACTTGCAAGTGGTCGTAAACGTGGCCTGGGTGTTCTTCTACTTCATTATTCCATGGGTATTTATATAAAACTTTATAAGGGTTGGAAGCTTTGGGAAATGTAGCGTGAATGCCTTGCTTGAAATCAGTAGTTGAGATGTCATAGTTAAAAGTAAATAGGGTGACACAATGATCCTCTTTTAGTTTGCTGGTTTCATTACAACCACAGAACTTTACTCCATCTCCTATTAAATTATTTACACACTGGCATCCAGAAGTTTCACAAGAGGCTAGGCTATGGCATTTAGAGCAGTCCTTTTTTTCTGATAGTATTGCAAGTTCAGGGCACCGATGTACGCAAGCTTCCTTTTTAGTTAATTCAGGACATAAAGCACCGTCGTTAGAAGGGTAGGTCGTTATTGTTCGTTCAGAAACTACTGTTCCATTTACAGTTCCTGTACCGCAGTGCGCTTTGCAGGATCCTGTAACCCATTCAGTAACTTCGCAGTCAATAGTGAGACACCTTCCTTCACACTCCTCTGTTCGTTTTAGCAGGTCCGGGCAGGGCTCCCCACCTCGACTCGCAGGTCTAATGATAGTTCTAGTTACGTTTCGAAACCCTTTGACTGTGCCCCTTCCACATTTAAATTCACAAGGCCCATGGAACCAATCTGATACTCTACAATCTTCCGGGAGCAAGGGACTGTCATCTCGAAACTTTTTGTATACTGTTAAGTCTGTATAATAAACTTCTTCTAGTTCGTCGAACTTTCGCTCTCTGCTTTGGATCTTGTATATCCCCCATCGAGGTCTAAAAATAATTAATATAATGCAACTGCAGCCTTCATGATAAGAAATCAATATAACCTTATAGAACGATAATTATCTTCCCAGCAGTTGACGTGGTTATCAACAAAGCTTAAATCATCTACAAGTTCCAATAGTCTGTTCCCTTCCATGTCTTTTAAATCAAATTTTATGTAGCCGTCTTTTTCATATTTAATCTTGGTAGTTTAGATCGTTAAAAAAGATTACTAACTGTGCTGAGGTCTACATACTTACCTCAACATATGCCTGAACCCACGCATCATGATAATTATTTAATGGTCCTAAATCGTACATTGAGTCAAACCTTCTGTAAAACAGATGGTTTTCACCGTTAAACTGATTAAGTGAAAAAGCAAATATTGGTAAGTCATCTTGTCCTGTGTCCTCTTGAGTTGCTACGATTTGAAATATGTCAAAAATATTTTGAGACAAATGTGTAAGTCTGCTAACTTTAAACCAAAAAAGGTATATCATGGTGTCGCCTTCCGCGGCTAATATTGTTGTATCATTATTAGCTGTACTTAAGATTTTGATGCTGAATTCTTGGTTATATGGTTGTATATAGGAGTTTAAACTATGATTTACGGTCATTTTTAATACGGGTTTTTGCAGATCATCATCGTAAATAATCGATAAATGATGATTGTTGTAATCTTTCCAAAAGTTTTCCTTAGTTTTGAAAGGATACTTCGAAAGTATTTGGTAAGGGTTAGACCCCTCTGGAAATTCTGTCCTTATGCTTTGATAATAAATACTGCTATCGAGTTCATAATTAAAAAAGTCCAGATCGTAGCATCGTAAGTTACTCATTTTTTGATCTTTAGGGCAAGAACATTCGCTAATTCCATCGCCGATCAAATTATATTTGCAAATACATTTAGCATTATCTACGCATTTGGCATGTACATGACACATAGAGCAAGAAAAATTCTGATTCATCATTATATTCAAGGAATTTTCCGTTAAGCTTGCCTCCGTTCTTTTGTAAACTTCTATACTGGAGTATGATATATTAACACTATCTTTAGTCATTTGTTGCTCATTGAACGACTCGTAAACTCCCCAAGAAGGCCTAATTTAAATAAAAAGTAATGGAATAATGCCAAGCGATAAAAGTATTATACCTTACAAATTCCTCTGGTATAGCTAAACTGTATGCAAATTGATCATAGTACATTTCTTGTTTATCATTAAATGTAAATATTTGTTTATCATAAATGTCACGGAAGTCAAATTTAAGATAGCCAGAGTTTGAAAAATTAATTTCCACATAAGCTTGAACCCATTTATATTTAAACTTCTCAATTAATCCCAGGACGTACATTTTGTTTAATTCTATAAAACTAAAGTAACGATGGCCATTGTTTTCCCTTTTAATTGTAAATGTGATAAGAGGCCTTTCAGTAATGTCATTGATTGATTTTAGTTGAAAGATATGAAAAAAGTTATCATTTGCATGCAATTCTTCATTAATCTTAAACCACCACATGTAGGTCATGGTATCATCCTTGAACCCCAAAATTTGAGAGATTTTTGAGTCATAATGCTCTAAAAGTTCTTTAGGCTTCACATTGTTATTACTAATATACCTGGTAGAAACTTTTAATACATGTTTCGCAAGCTCATCATTATAAACCACTGTTATATTGCTGCTATCTATAAAACTGTAAATTTGTTGGTTTAAGGGTAGTTGCCATATAAGTGCTGCCAAAGAATCGGATTCATTGAATTTAAAGTCAAGTAATTTTAATGTGTTTGTTTGATTAACTTCGTAAAAAAACTTTTCCCTAGGAACACAAATCCCTGCTCTGTTTTTTTCTACAGCTGAACAGTGTTTTTCATTAATTAAACCGAAGTGTTTTTCTTCAATGGCTATTTTCCCATCTCCAGAGCTATAGCTGAATAAATCTAAGTCAACTGCATCATTTAAACCTTTATTGTTAAGCACATTTAACTTGTAGGGCGTTGGTTTACTCCAAGACATAACGTCGCCATCATTACTTGTTGAATAAACCTTGTCCTGATGTTTATAAAAACGTTTTATACTTAAAATAAACTCTTTTTGGGCACGGTTAGCTTTGACAGACCTATTATAATTATGTTGATCTAAGGTAGCCAAAAGTTTAGGCTCATTAGTATGCTGTTTACTAAACTTTTCAATATGCTTAGTGGATATAAATTCTTTTTTTTCTTCGCGATTAGAAATGTACTCGGGTTTATCACTTATGTTTTTATGATCATAACGTTTTGCATGCATCACTTCTTCTTTTTTCTTACGGTTTTCAGTGACAGACCCTCTCAATTCATGTATATGCTTAGCGAATATGTTTCGTCTTTTATTATCGCTATAAGTGCTGTATCCGGGATCATTACTACGAAAATTATGTTTCGCATCCATGACTTCTTTTTTTTCCTTACGATTAACATTTTGCATATTAAAATTTTTTTTTATGTCACTTTTATAATTTTTATGATAACGCTTAGATGCTAGAAAGAAATTTTTCTTAACTCGATTATTTATATAATTGTTATTTACAGAATCGTCATCTTTAAGGTATCCGGAATAGCGTTTGGCTGATAAAAGCGCTTCCTTTTTAGCACGGTTACTATCCTGCGACTTTTTTAAACCATATCTTATTGCTGATATAGCTTGTTGTTTTCTTTTATAATGATCTTTATTATTTACTTCATCAATATCTTTTGATATTTTTTTTAATGCTTTCGTTTCAATATTATTATCGTCCATAGTAGGAAGATAATTTCCGGTAAAGGATTTATTATTATTGGGAATATCGCCTTGTAAGAGGGAGGCAGATTTTCTTCTAGAAAGTTGTGGTGATTTACTTCTAGCATATTTTACGGTAACAATAGTTAGTGCAGTAGTTAAACCTACAATTAACACCACTAACACAATAAAAAGTAAGATCATAACCCAAAACCTATGGTTAGAGGAAGATTTTTTACTTCCACTTTCTTGGTTTAGTGCACTGGAAGAAGTAGACATGTTTAATTTTATTAAATAATTGGAAAATATTCACTGTTTTTTTAAACTTAGAAAAGTAAAATGTCTTTAAAACATAAACAAAGAAACACTATAAGCCTTAGTTAATACTAATAGTATCAAATATAGTAGCTGTTCCCGTACCTGGCTTATGGTCTGATAAAAATTTCGGTCTCTTTAGCTTTAATTAGTAAGATATTAACCGAAATTTTCTATTTAGACATAACTTGATGCTAAATTTAATTGTTCAAACCATAAACAAAAATTATATCCCTAAAATAGAAAGAAAGTAAATGGTAACTACCACTTTTGGAAACGGAAAAACTAAAAATAGTTTCATCTTACCTACGTTTAGAAGATATTAAATGTCAGATGATAAATTTAATAGCAACGATGAATTTTTAGAAGCCTTACAACTGCATATATTATATATAATATTATTTATAAACGAGCTAACTTGGGAGTATCTATCTTAAGAAAATGGCTTCTTCTGTAGTGCAACGTCGTAGGTTACAGAGCTTTAAATTAACCTTTTTATAATTAAAATGCACTGTATTGAACGCCATTGTAAAAGCATACAGTTAAATAGTATTATTCCATAATTACTAAATTCTATCTTTAAATCAATGCTGTTTTGTGGCATATTTGCTTATAACCGTAGCATTAAATTCAAAGGTTTATATTTTTGACTATTATTAATACGCTGTGTAGTCCGTAATATAAAAATAGAGACGTTTTACATTAATTAAAAAAATTAAATTTTAATGCACACAATAAAAGTTAGCTAAATTACTATTATACAGCTTAACTTAAAATATATAGTTAATTAGAGGGGGGTCGAAGAAGGTCATAATAGCGTCGAGTCTGATAAACTTATAAAGGTATCCTTGGAAAGGAACTGGAAAGAGAAGAGAAGAAAAGGTGAAAAATTAAAATAAAGTAGAGGAGGGTCTTTGAACTTTCTTATTTAAGGGAAAAGTTTAAAGTTGCGCATTAAATTATCGATGCTAGTTTTGACTTTCTGTACTGCCATCTAAGTTGTGTTGCGCAAAATGTTGTCATCAGCAAATTCTAATCGAGATTTCTTATATTTTTTAAGTGATGTTATTAGCCTCATTGGGGCATTTAAATTACTTCAAAACATGCTTATTGTACTCTTATTAATGGCAGCTGTCCTTACAGCATGTGTGAAATTGATACTCGTGACACGGTTTTCTTGCAATAAAAAAACGTACATTTTTAGCTCTGCGCTTTATTGTTGTATTGCATATTATTTTTATCTAAAATTTTGTTTATCCAAAACATATTTTTACTGAGTTGTTGTAGGAAAATATGCATAAATAAGCAACTAAGGAAAGTTTAACTTTACTGTATTTTGCAACCCGCTAAAAATAACAAGTCAGACACCCTTGGGTCTTCAAAAAAAAATATCCATATATCAAAAATGTTGTTTAAGGGATGCGCTTGGATTTGCAATAAAACTCTGAAGAGCATAATCTGAAGAGCATAAAATTCTGTCGAGAGTTATTGCGACTTTAAAAGGAAGCGTTCCCAGTTAGGTGCTGTTAATCTGTTATAAAGATATACATGTACGACATTATGACGGGTAAGTTTTTCAGGTTTCTCTTTAATTACTAAACAAGGGCGTAGCTCAGAATCTAAGGGCGGTCTCTTCTTTTTTTCTTGGACCCTCTTTTGGTCCCGGGAGTCTTCGACATGACCTTCAAGCCAGCTAAGAGGTTCGAGTATTTCCTCTTTCCGGAACTCTCTTGTCCTGAAACTCTGACCCTGTCAGCCTCGAACACGTGCCCCTATAGTGCTGGACTTAATCTGTCGAGATTATCTCAACTCTTTAATTTCATTATGCGCTTTTTGCGTGCTGTCTTGTAGAAATGTATAGAGATAAACCGCAACATTATTAGAGGGCGCCCCTGGTTGTGTTCAATTAATCCGATATAAGCGAAAGAGGTCAAATACAATAACTCAAGTCCCTAAATAAATCCCCTTTTCGAAAATAATATAAAAAATTAAAATACCCAGCAAAAAACAAAGAAAGTTAGTTACAGCCCAGAAATTAAAAATCATTAAAACATTTATTTTCACGTGCACTTAACTATAGAAAAACAGTTTTATCTCCTGAAAACAAAGATTAAACCAAGCAAAAAGGAAACTGACTAAATATATTCAAAAGGCGAGAAAAATGACCAACAGCTCAGTTAGATACGGCGAATAAACTAATATCATAACTGAACTTTTTTTTTTTAAAGTTTGCATACACCTTTATACGGATTTAAATAATTTTTAAATTTTTTAATGTAGGCTAAATATTTAGGTTTCTTTCTTTTTAAACCTTTATGCCAAATTGAAGTATCTGTTTGGAGATGTTTTAATATATGAGTTCGAAAGACAACAAGAAAACTAGAGAATTGGGCAAAAAAAAGTAATTACTTCCTATACGTACTCTTTCCCTAATTAATTGTAAATAGTACTATTTGTATTAAAAAAACCACTAATATAGGGCTCGCCGCGGCATTCTAATATATATACTAGCTAATAACACTATTCTCATAGAGTGCCTGTACCATATATCAGACTATATACTATAGGAACAAGTACTATTGGATCGAGTCTAAACTCAGCCAAATTCGTTGAACATAGCATAATCTAATATAGGATACAAGCACTATATTTCAGTGGCGAGTCATCTGAACTAAGTACTATGCTATGCACATAGATCAAACTTTCCTAGAGCTTGCCACCGGCTACAGATAATAGCTAGTGCCATTCGATTACTCATTACATACGCCTTCCTAACAAAAGTCTTCGCAGGCAGTTAGTGACTTGCAAGCAGGAGCACGGATGTAACTTAGTTGCTAACCTAACCAGTATACAATAGTTAACTAGTTAAGTGTCACAGCTCGTTCATTGCTTTTCACAGAGGATTGTCTCTGGACGGCAATCGCTAGTATATCGCACGAGAGAACATGATGTAATTTCGTTCCATAGGTCAGCCGGCTGGCTATTTTCTACAAAGCTCGTACCGTCGAAGATAGCACCTAACTCACATTAGGCTCGGGGCAATAGCAAAAGACCATCGAGTACAGTAAGATATAACCTGCCTAAATGTACCTATCTGATACGGTGTTTTTACCAATATTAAGAGCATGTCTTCCGACACGTAACAATAAACCTTCGTCTCTCCACAGTATTGCGCGTACCTCAACGTGGTTAGATCAAGCAGGGTAACCATTTTCACCACAATTGTTTGGTAAGGAATCTCGTAAGGTTCAAGTACTATTACCTTCGTCTTAGCCTACAAGACCTAATCGTAGTAGAGTGATTACTAACCACCACAAGATGTTATGAAGTCTGCACACGAGCGACAATCCTTCTGTGGATGGCAGTTTCTTTTCTTCATTCTGTGTCAAACACGTACTAGTAGACTTGAGGAATAACAACACGCATCAGTCGCGCTAGAATGGGTACGATCTTTTTCGTACGCTATACGATAACTAAATAACTAAACTCTGTTAAAGTGTGTTCACTAATTGACGAAAGCATCGAGATATTGCTAACAGTCGAAGGAATTCCAATACTCCTAATGCCTCCACATACAAGCAATGACCTACCCAGTTTGCTTTAGTTGTTCTATTGATTGAACAACATAAGACTAACCTGCTGAAATAACAGTCACTTAATGGAACTTTTTAGGTTCGAGATGAAGTCAAGCACTCGATTGACTAAATTATCCAGAGTTATTCAGCACGCTATTCTATATACGAGTCAAAAAGCTCCTTAAATATGTATAGTAAAGACACTTATTTGACAAAACTCGTTTTTTGCAAAATTGTAAAATGCAAAATCGATGGTGTAATTAGCTCATGGCTCTTGCTAAGTACATTAACTTAGATAAAGGAAGCTAAGTTAGTTTCTCCCTTAATAACAAGGCTAGGTAAGATAAACCTTGATGCAAACTAAAAAAGATCTGTTAGAGGTGGTTAGAAATAGTAAGATATAAATTTAAATAATTCATTACCTCTAACAGATCTCTCAACCAATAGTCAATGTTAAAAAAGAAGCACTAGATTGCTACACGTTAGCTTCGCACAGTAGCAGAGTCTAGATTTTAACTATGGTTAAAATGCTAAAACCAAGCTTACTTCCTAGTTTAAGGTCACTAGTTTCTTCCTACTCGATTTAAAGGTAGTTTAAGTAGGTTTTTTCACCTTGGTTTATAAACCCTAGCACAGGAGACTAGAAGACAATTCAAAGATATTAAAAATATTACAAATAGTAATCTCCTATGCTAGGGAATAAGGTTCTACTTTGGTGTAACAAAAATAACTACCACTCTAGAAATGGTAATTAAGTCATTATACCAAAGTGGAAAAAAAAAGTAAGAGTAAAGATTTCCTCTTTTCTAGTTCTAGTGATCCCAGGAAAGGCTTTAGCCTCGGGGGCGACCTTAAGGCCACCTAGTACTTCGCTCCACTAGGTCATCTAGCGAAGCAAAGAGGAACTTTTACTCTTACTTTTTTTTTCTACTTTGGTATAATTATTTAATTATCATTTCTAGAGTGGTAGTTAGTTTTGTTATACCAAAGTAGAAATTGCTTAAGTAGTTAAGTGGTATAATCTTACTTCTTTATCGTAAAGTCCATGGTTTGATTCCATTCTTAAGCATAACTGCCTAAAGGAAACTTACTTAACCTTAACTTATCCTTTGGGAGGCTAATTGACTTTTAAACCAAAATGAAACAACCTGTTTACAAACATCTAATATAATCTAACAGGAAGAAACTAGACTAGTCATCATTTTAACCAATAGGAAGTAATCTTGGTTTACTCAATTTTACCATAGTCAAAATATAGACTCTGCTACCTGTTTATGAACCTTATGTGAGTTGTACTAATCTAGTGGCTATTTTAGACCATTGACGATTGGTAGCTACTTTGTAGCTCAGGTTAGAATAAAAGGGTTAGCTTAAGTTAATACACGAATC